GGAGGAAGAAAAACGTGCAAGCAGAGGGGAAGGCCAGAGTTTTCTGCAGTCTGTGGGAACAGAATTATAGGAATGGAGTGCATTGTTCAGATGCAGTGATACACTGATCCAGGGGGAAAGGTGATTTTTTCAGGGCTGGATCTCTCTCCAAGAATGTTCCCTCAGGCCATCAGGACCTCTCAGCCTGCACCTGCAAGAGCCAGTCTGAGATCAGGAGCAGGAGGGTCCCTATCTCCCTCCACACAGGGACCATTTACTGAGGGTCTTAGTCTGGTCTGCCGTTCATGGAGCGGTATCAGAGGAGAAGCTTACAGCGACTTTAGTGCATGGTAGGAGATAAGAACAAGACTTGGGACAGAACAGTGAACCAGGAGTTTTGGCAAAAGGGTGCAGAATATACCTGACAAAATGCCCACTGTGCTGAAGTCTCCTGGCAGCCAGGGACGTGTTCCTGCAAATGCCACATTCACCAGCCTTTGCACCTGAATGCCAAGAGCCCTGAGCTCTGACCAACACAGGAGAGCTTTGATTTCCCCATGTAAGTTGCAGGTGAGACGGACAAGGTGGTCTCTATGAGGCCCCTCACAGCCATTGCTTTGGTTTTTTTACCTGGCCGCCAGGGATTCCACTTGTCTATGGCCCAGACGAGAAGAGTCAATAGGGCTTTTCTCATCAGCAGCTCTGGGTGGGCGTGCTCAGAAAACACAAAGACCCTGGCTGGATCCACCCACCTGAGAGCAAAGTAACTTGGGAAGGGGTATCTGAACCCACTAACTCAGAGATACAGGAGGCCCGCCCTCACAGGCAGGGACTTGGGTGGCGCTGGTCATACCCAGGTGGAGGACACTCTAGCAGTATCTGAAGACCTTTAGCAGCAAAGCCTGAAAAGGGCAGGGTGAGGGGATGACTGGGTCACAGTCCTGTGCAGGTCCCTTCTCCCCAGGAGGTCCTGGAATCAGGTAGAGCCCTGCTACTCTGTGCATCAACTCCCTGGCACACGCTGGGCTGGAACCTAGCTGCCTGACCATGCTATTACCAGGGTGATTTTTGTATATTAGTACAATCAGCACCTTGGGGTCAGCAATGAGCTTGCTTGTGCCTTGGCAGGACTGAACAGTTTGATGAAGAAAAGTTTTTCTACCAGGACTCCCAGAATTTCTACGTTTCTTGGCCACAGAGCCTAGATCACATTTGCTCATTCTGCACACGAGAAACCATTCTAAACCACCAACACAGATTCCGTCTGAGCTCTGGCCTTTTTGGATGCTCCTCCAAAGCTACTCTCCAGTGGAGACTGCAGGGTCTCTAACCACAATGTCCCGAGGACTGAAGCCATCTCAATCCACATTCTTGCTCTTCAGTGCCAGCACCGGCTGGGCACACCACCATGCCCTCAAAAAATTGGGAAGGGTGGGATGTGAGAGACAAAAAAAGCCCAGCAAATCTCTGGACTTCAGGCTGGAGGCCAAGCTGGACCGAGCAACCAGCCTTCCAACCTGGAGGCGAAAGCACAAATGTGCCTCATTTCCTAGGCCCAGCGGGGCTGGGGAACAGGTCCTGGCCAGAGCCTCCACTCAGTCTATCCCAGAGCCTATGCTCTGTGAATTCCCTCCCCTTCTCTGAAGTCTTGAAGCTACCCTTCTCCAGCTGGGGTTCATGCTCAACCTAGAAAGGGCTGGAAAGAAATGTATCTCCTGGCCAGGCACAAGACTGCCTTTGTGTGTGGGTCAGATGGCCGGGCTGGGGACAGGGGGTAACCTCTGGGCACATGTCCATCTGGGCAGCTTAGTGTCCAGCCTAATGATCAGAGCTTGTGGACCCCTAAGCTTCTTGAGAAGGGAGCCCAGCAGCCTCTGAGGGTCCCCGGGAGAACAGTGATGCCTGGAGGCAAAATTCCACAAACTTCCAGAGGTGCTTCCCAGCTCAGCAGTTAGGTGGGGGTGAGGCAGCGATTGGCCAGACTTGGAGGGGACCACACTGTGCTGTCTAGGTCCCAGTGAGGGCAATGTGGCCCATGAAGGGTGCCTCCTCTTGCAAAGTGTGCAACTTACAATATTTAACCTCTCAGAGTTTGGTTTCTCCTATGCGGTGGGATAAATAGAAATGCCTTCCCATAGGCTATGGCAATAAAACGGCACATGCTAAGAACCTAACCAGAAGCCCTAGTGGCATAGTCCACTGAACTTCACTGATAAGTCGTACTCAGTTTGGCAGCACCTAACAACAACAAACAACAACAATCCAAAGATAGTGGCTCTTTGGCAATTGGAACATGCTAGTGGCTCCAAGGGAGAAAAATTTACTATCTTGGAAACCTGAAGGAGTATCAGCTGTGTGTCAATTCCAACATGACAATGAGAGAGAGAGAGGAGTTGAGCACATGCAAAGTTCCATAAAAGAGGGCAGCTGTGTGGGGAGAGGGCGCTCTAAACCCTCTCATAATCCTACAACCTTCCCTCCAAACAGTCTTTCAGCTAAGGCCTCTCAATCTTATTAAGAGAGCTGAAGAGTACTTTGTGAAGGGACAGTTTCAAGACTCCTCCCTTCAAGTGGCTGTTCCAGTTTCCTCTCTCATAAGGAGTTTACAGACCATGACTCCTGGGGCTGCTGGAGGATCCAAGAGATAAAGGATCCCAAGCTCCTGCCCAAGCCCTGGCACAGTAGGCACTTAGTACTGAGTGCTGAGCCTGGAGCCCACAGTAGCTCTATCCCAGAGGCGTGTCTCTCTACTTCCAAGTCCCTGGGGGCTGGTTGACAGTGAGCCGGATAGAGCACAGCCCACATAAGGCCTGTGGGTCTTACAAGGCATGTTTGGCAATGCCCTAGGCAATATCCAAGGTCTCTTGAGGCCACCTGTTCTGGACATGTGCCGATAGCAGTGGTGACAGAAGACTCCTTTAACTCCTCTGAGACTGGTCTTTCTCCTCACATCAATGAAAGATCACCATCCAAGAAATCAGTGGTTCTCATCCAGTTGGACTCCTTTCATCGCCCTGACTATGCCCTTCTAGCCAGGGCCTGTCTGGCCCCAGACTACAGCTCTCCAATAGCAAGAAAGAAGGCCTGTCCATCACAGGACTTAGCTGCACTGTGCCACACACAGGAGAGGCAGAAGGAGGCAGTCCCATCCTACCCTGCATGGTTCTAGCTTCTCTCCAGCCTGGCTGTCCTGCCTAGCTTCCCACAATCCTGATAAACATGACAGTGGTGGCCTTGCTATCTCTCCCATCATTGCCTACCTGTTCTCAATGAAATGCAAGACCCCGAAGCCCTGAGCTACTCACATGGCCCTGTTCCAGCCCCCTCCAGGAGGACTCTGTGATTCCTACTTGTGTAACCTGACCTTGCCAGCCTTCTTCACCTCAGCTTTGACTAGTGGTCATGTGTGGTCACTCCAGAACTGTGCCCCGAAGGGTTCTCAGTGACTGGTTTTTCTGGAATGAGATCACCAGGTCTTTCTTCTGGTGCACCTCTGGGTAGACTCAAATTTCCAGCCTTTTGTTTAGCAGCCAGTACATTAATCATTTCTAGCACTCAGGGTCTCCTTTCCCCGATTTGTTTAAACCCTGTTCATTCGGAGTGCTCACTGAGTGCTTGATGCCATGCTCATTCTAAAGAACTCAGGGCTGGCTGAGTGCTTGATGCAGTGCTCATTCTGAGTGCTCACTGCAGCGCTGCCAAAAACCAGCTAACTCCTTTTGTCCTCTAGCCCTGAGTTCTCTCTCTGCCCAATTCAAGGACTCCTAAAATTAGCCTCTTCCAGCTCCTTCCTCCCCTCTTAGGCCCACGCAACCATCTACTCCCCAAAATCCATCCAGACCACTCAGAACCATTGCTGACAAATCAATTCCAGCACATGGCAACCTTACATGTTACAGAGTAGAACTGCGCCCCAGGATTTTCTTGACAGTCACCTTTACAGGCATAGATTGCCAGGCCTTTCTTCTGTGGTGTCTTTGAGTAGGCTGAAACAGCCAACCTTGAGGTCAGTACTTAAACATAAACAGGAACCTCTCTAAGGCCACAGCCCCTGCTTAATCATGAGGAAAACACCAAACGTACCCAAACTGAAGGACTTCTACAAAACACCTGCTGAACACTTCTTAAACACTACTCAACAGCCAGTTCAATTCTCTCTCCTTTATTGGTTCCCATCCAGATACCCAAGGGAATGGAGACAACTACGAAAGTCACAGAGCAAGCTTCTCTGAGCAGCAGGCTGCCTGCACTTAGGAAACCCAGAGCTGGGAAGACCAGCAATACGGGGAAGTTCTCTGACCCCAGAGGGACACAGATCAGAGACAAGACGGCAACAGTGTGAGGTCCCAAAGACAGCACGGACATGGGAGGCAGTGGCCTCTTACTGGCTGCTGAGTGTCTTTTGTTTCTTTTCCTTTTTTACCTTCTATTATTACTACAATATTGTTGTACAGCTAATAAAAATGAACAAAAGAGGCATTATGGTCATTATTATTGTTTTGATGACTCTGGGGTAAATGCTAACTCTGCCTCCCTTAAGATGCAATTATCTGAGGGTCAGTGCCATTCTGTAAGAGCACATGCCGTCCCAAGTCTCCAGCACAATTACTGCAAGACTCCCCTGCTGGCCTGGCTCCTGCTCCACTTTCCCAGGAAAATCCATCCAACTCAAGGCTTTGCTCATATCTGGGCTTCATCCTTTTTGTCAACAATCTCAGTCGAAGAGCCCAAGCCTGGCTCTTGAGGAAATCCAAGCTGTCTCCTTATCTCTCTCTGTTTCTCACCTTTTTTTCCCACCTTCTTGATGAAGAGAACTTCCTCCATTGCCTTCCACTGGGACCAGCTGCTGTGAAGGCAGCACTGGAATCCGTGGAGATGTGGACCCCCCTCTTACTCCTCCCCTGCAGTTCTGGCCTATTGTCTGGCCCTATTGCTTGTTTCTGCCTGCAGTTCCCACCACCATCCCCAGCCCAGCTGAGCCCTCCTGTCCTGCCCACCCCAGCAGCCCACAGAAGTCTCACCTGGACAATCAAACTGGGTGTCCTTCGCCTTATCTGGGGACGAGTGCTCGAAGGCATGGCTTAGGGACTCTTTGGAGAGCGTCTGCCCATCAGTCAGAGAACTGGTTGGGGAGGGAGAAAGCATATGTTAGAATCTGGTGGGCTGACCAGGGTTTCCAGGGGGGATTACAGCCCCTGAGGGATGACACTGGTATATCTGCCTCTTCCAAGTTGCCAGACCTTCCCCAGAGGAGGTCCCAGCTAAAGACAGAAGATAAGACCTAGGTTGAATCCCTAACCCACCCTGCTCCCCAAGTTCTGCTCTAGGAACTTAGTATGAAAAAAATCAAGTCCTGTTCTGCTTTCATTTGCTGTGTGACTTCATGGATATGCATGCTTCTCTCTGGGCCTCAATGTCCCCATCTGAAAGGGGTTGGATTCAGGTATTTGAGTACTCTGAGCACTGCACCGGTAGAATTCAGGCTTTGTGGACTGGGAAGAGGGACCTCTTCTCTTAACTCTTACCTTCCAGAGCTCAGGCACTGACAGCAGCCATGCTAGAGACCCCAGTTGGGGCTGAGAGTCTTCCTCGGGTCTCCTGTTGATGTCTCTCCTTCCATTGGTGCCCTCCATATTGGCTCCCATGGAAAGCCCTGACACAGTGCCACCTGCCCAAATCCCTTCTGCCGCTCAGGCTTAGTGGCTGGTGAACGAGGGGGTTATTGGACCTCTTTATCAACTTGCCCTGTTTCTCAGCACTATTCCACTTTAGGGTTCAGCTGACCAGTTTTCAGCAGATGAGTTTTGGTGCACATCTCAGGACAGAGCAAGGTTACAAACAGCATTACACAACTGTAATGTGTGTAACACATTCCTCAGTCATCAACTATGTATGCTGAACCCCCCTGGAACTGAGGAGTGTGCAACCTGTGCAGCTGGTCGTGGCAGCCCTGAGGGTACCTCTGGCCTCTGAGAGCCCAGTCTATCAGGGCGAGGCTAGCCCCATCCCTGCCCAGTTCCCAGTCAGCTGGGCCAGTTACCTGCTTATCACATTCGGCTTTACTCCTTTTTGGTATCGCAGGTTCAAACTAAGTTTTCGAATACACCCAGGCCCACATGGTGCCAATCTGCTTAAGAACCTGAGATTGGTTTTAAAGCAAGAAAACAAATCAGGAGGTTATGCAAGTAGGTGAATGGGGAGATGGGGGATAAGTGTGACGCTAAGCTGGCCCTTTTCTTGGGAACGTTGTGAGCACAGGACTGGAGCAGTCTTTCTGTTGCTATGGTGACCTGTTCTGGAGAAGCTTGCCGGAAGGACTGAAAAAAATGACAAAGCATGCTTCTGAGGTGAGCCTACTGTGCCAGGCAGAGGGACACAGAAGGTTCTGAAGGTCGTGGAGCTTGGCCTGCTGACTTTGGATCATTGGTTACTGCTATTGCTGGCTTGAGTTGTCTGGCAGAAGTGGTTTCCACTTAGGGACAAAGGAGATGGTAATGCTTCCAAATGACTTTAAACACACACACACACACACACACACACACACACACACACACACAGAGAGAGAGAGAGAGAGAGAGAATCTCACACAGAAGTGTTAGGGGAGACCCTGATGCAAAAGAGGGCCCCTGGGTCCAGCTCCATCTTGGCCTATGTTCTTGGGACAAATCCAGGCCTGACAGTGTTTTAAATCACCAGCTGACTGGCCACCCCCAAATTAGACAAGGCCATCATTGACTGTCATCTCCCATAATCTTAACCGCTTCCTCACAAACATGTCTATTTTTAAATCTACACCATCAAAAAGGATTCCCCCACCTCATAAAATTTCTGTGTACTGGCTCTGGTTTTAAAGTCACTAAACAAAGACTAAATGAGAAGCCAGCCACTTAAGGAAGCCCAGGCAAAGCATACACAACACGAGTAGAACTTTCTATTTATAGGGAAGAAGGTGCAGTTTGAAGCTCCTCCCTTGCAGGGGCCCTTTCCTGGGGTGTCTTGTGCCCCCTTGTAAGACTAAGCCTCATCCTCACTCAAGTTCCCTTCTCTGCCTTCATCTTCCTTTCAGTGAGAGGGAGGACCTGGCCCTTGGCCAGTACTCAGTGTGACAGGGACGAAACGCCTCATTTATCCTTGCAAATGACTCCCAGAAATAGGTATTCAACTCTGTGCCCTGAAGAATATCAGGTGTCTGATTAAGGAAATGGCAAAATGGGCCAAGACTCATTTTTTTTAAAATAAGCTAAACTTGCCCTTCCACTTATTAGAGCCTTTGAAATTTGCTCCCTTTTCAGACATGTCAGATAAGCCCTGTGGCACGGTGCATAACATGTCGGGCCACCAATCAAAAGGTCAGCAGTTTGAACCCACCAGTGACTCCAAGGGAGAAAAAAAGGCAGTCTCTTTCTGTGATATCAAGATTTATAGCCTCAGAAATTAATTTGATGGCAGTAGGAGTTGAATAAAGAATATATAAAAAAGCCCAGGTGGTGCACTGGGTAAGCTCTCATCTGCTAACTGAAAGGTCAGTTGTTCAAGTCCACCAGCTACTGTACAGGAGAAAGGTAGAGTAGTCACCCAGGTAAGATCACAATTGTTGCTCCCAGTAAGATTGTCTTTGTGTTGGAGCTGACTCGTAGTGGACCCTCCAGTGGAATTTCAGAGGCTATTAATCAGAGTAGATCTCCCTTCTTTCTCCCATGCACCAGCTGGTGAATTAGAACCACCTGCCTTTGGGTTGGCAGCACAACTCCCTACCCATTAGGCCAACAGAGTTTATCTTCGGAAACCTTAGGTTTCCCTAAGTAGACAGTTTTACTCTGTTCTACAGGGTCTCTGTGAGTGGGAGTCAGCTTAGTGACAATGGCAATGGCTTAAAGGGTTGTCACACTTGCCCATCTGAAGCAAACTCACTGGACCTGCCACTCTTCCCCGCTCTCTCAGGGTGATGACTAACAACAGACTTCCCTGGCCGGGCACGTAAGAGCTCAGAACCGCTCTGCTGTTGGCCTGCCTAGTGTGGCTGCTGCCCAAGTCTTGGAGTCACTGGTGGTGGTGGTGGTGGTTTTATGATTTTTCAGTCCTCTCCTACATTGTTCACAGTCACTTCTTGCCATGGTTTGTGAATTGGCCTCCAGCAGCTCATTCCCTCCTAGTCTGCAGTTTCTTTGGGGGGCAGGCTTAGAAACAGGATGACCAAGTGAGGTAGTTTAAATTAGAAGAGATAGGTTCCCAAAATACCCATTGCCATTGAGTACATTCTGACTCCTAGTGGCCCTATAGGGAGCTCTGGTGGCCTTCTGGTAAAAAGCTGCACTGCAATCCTGAAGGAACATGGTTAGAATCCATCAGACGCTCACAGATGGACATTTTCCTCTTATTTGATTAACTGCCTCTGAAAATCTGCTGAAGGGTCAGCTATGGGTGGATTTCAACTCCATGGCACACAACAACAACAACAACAAGTGGCCCTGTATTACAGTGCAGAAGTGTCCCTAGGGTTTCCAAGGCATGTCACTAGAGGATCCAATCCTTGGAAAATGACATCATGCTCAGAAAAGTAGAGGGTCAGCGAAAGAAAGGAAGACTCTCAATGAGATGAATTTGGCTTATATAGTGACCTTAACAATAGGCTCACGTGTGACAGAGATGATAAGTCAGGGTTTAGATCCATCATTCACAGAGTTGCTACAGTTATAGTTGATTTGACAACCTCCAGCAGCAGCAGCAGCAGCAGCAGCAGCAGCAGCAGCAGCAGCAGCACCACCACCACCACCACCACCACCACCACCACCACCAATCTTTCTGAAAGCAGACTGCCACATCTTTCTTCCTCAGAGCAGATGGTGGGCTCAAGTCTCTGCCCTTTTCATTAGTAGCCAGGCTGTGTAACCACTATGCCATCAAGACTGCACTGGGTTTCAAAACAGAACCTGTTATGTTTTCCTCAAAGAAAGCTACCAAATCTTTCTTTGTTTTGGAGGTGGTGGTGAGGAGGGCAATGCAGAAAGCATTTTGAGCCCCTCTCCTGATTCTTGCTGCTATTTCAGGAAAGACAGGTGGCCGGTAAGTGACCCCAACAGGAGACATGCTACTGTTGTCATCAAGACTGTAATCAACTAGTTGAAGGTAATTAACATAGCATCCTTGTCACTCGAGAAAATTACACTCTTCCTGGAGTATTCCAGAAGTTGGCTAAGGTCCCTGAGAGGCAAGCCACCTGACAACAAGGTGGAGGACAATCTAGAGGAATTTGGCTTATACTGCTGGTTTTTCTAATTTCTTAAGGAAGAGCACTTCCTTAAAGGGTGGGGGCCCTTTTCACCTTGATGAGGAAAAGGATCTCTTCTTACCTCCAGCTCACACTCACACTCACACTCCTTGCCAACTACACCTTTCTCAGAAACTCCTTTAGTATCTCTTAAGTAGCGTTGGAGCAGGAAAACACTCAATGAGTTGTTGTTAAGTGTGAGTCAAGTACAACACATAGTGACCCAATGAACAACAGATCTGAACCCTGTCCTATCCTGTGCCATCTTCAAAATCTCCAACACACTTGAACCCATTGTCACAGTCACTATGTCAATACACATGGTCAAGGGTCTTCTTCTCCTTTGCTGTCCTTCCACCTTCTCAAGCATGATGTCCCTTTCCAAGGAATAGCCTCTTCTATCAACATGCCCAAAGTATGGGAGACAAAGGTATACCATCGTTGCCTCTAAAGAGCATTCTGGCTGCACTTTATTAAAGACATATCTGTTCTTTTTTTGGGTAGTCCTTGGGATAGTCAGTATTTTCTCCAACACTACGGCTCAAAGGAATCAATTTTCCTCTGCCATCCTTATTCACTGTCCAGCTCTCAGCAGCAGAATACTCAATGAGTAGGTTGGAACAATTAAGTTAGGTAGGTAGAAGGATGGGTCTAGAGGGTTAATAAAAATTCTCCCTTTTATCAACCAGCTTGTGGTTGTTCATTCCTTTCCTTATCTTTCTGTCATAGATTAAATCTTGTCTTTCCTCTCTCTAATGTGATCATGACACTCAGAATTATGCAAATATTTTCCCTGTTTTGTGATCTGATGTGATCATCCTATGTTCTGTAAATTCTAACTAAGACTACTCCTT